GATGAAGAAACTATGTATCTATTGAATTTTATTCAATTTTATATTATCCTATCATTATCATTAATAAATACGGAAACCTCGGATTTACATCCGAGTGTTATGTGTACTCAAAAAGGGACAAAACATATTCACTTTTTTTTTTTTAATATTATTTAACTTAGGTACAAATGACATTCGTTTTAAATCTGATACAATCGTTTTATTGAATTTAAATTCCAGAAAATTTTCATATTTTATATATTTTTTATGAACATAATTAATAAATTGATATAAAGGACATGTTTGTCCAGGTCGTTAAGGATATCCTGAAATTGGTTTGACTATTGAATTAATTAATACTCTAATACATGTTTCATTTGAATATAATGATATGAATTGAAGTCTTTCTAATACAATTCTTCTTAAAGGTGGAATAATTTCACTTGATTTTAAAATTCTTTCAGGATTTATTTTACTTAATGATAAATATATATTTAATTGTTTACATAATTCTAATGAAACTAATATTAATGGTGACGATTCTCTATGAATTTTTTAGTAAATCAATATTTTGATTTGTTTGCACAAAAGCGGAATCAATCACTCAATAAAGTTTTGAGATTGATCATAACACTTGTATTCGCATTTTTTTTGGTTTATTTTTTGTGTCTTATTAATTAATGGCAACTAATACTGAAACATCTGATCGTGAATCAGTTGTTATGGACAATGATGAAGGAACAACAAATGATGAGAGTAGTCGATCAAGACCTCCCATCAAAAGCACAATTATTATTTCAAAAAATCATCCGTTGGGTCCCATTGGTAATATATTTTTAATTTAAAAACTAAAACGAATATTTTTATTATTAGAAAAAAATGTTCAAGGCTGTTTTGTTACTGTGAATCAATTAAAACATTTTGGTTTTATCAAACGGTAATTATAATTCTTCGTTTTTATTATTTTATTTTATTTTATTTTTTTTCTAGCAAAAGTGAAACTCCTTCACCTAATGTTTTTGCACGAGAAGCCTCAATTCTTGATAAGGTGCGCCCGAAGAAGTTTTTTGTGGGTGACAAATGTCGTTTTGATCTTATTAAAAGTGAGTTATTTAACCATAATCAAAGTATAGATAAATAATATCTTTTTTTCTTACAGCGCTTCGAGGCTACGAAGCCATCAATATTGACATACTCGAACGAAATATCAATTCCATTAACAAGTTAGGAAAAATTCCGATGAAAAAAAAAGATACAGAGCCAAAACAAACTGAAATATCTAATGACCTATTCCAGTCAACATTGTAAGTGTGATTCAATTTATTTTTAATTTGGTATAAACTAAATTGGATTATATTGTAGGGCAATGCTTTTTCGTGAAGCAATAAATAAAAAGTAAATCCACTTAATCGTCGATTGATTTATTACAACCACAAAATCAACCTGACGTTTGCTATAAGATTTTTAACAGCTGAACAAAATAACTTTGTGAAAATGATCTTTTATCGTAGAAAATTGTGAAAAATATTTTATCTTTTGTGTAATAAATACTTTATCTTTTGTTTAATAAATACTTAACGAAAAAAACAATTTATGTTTTATTTAATAAATATTTAAGAAAAAGAGAAGTGTTTCTCATAAATACTTATTTGTTTTAATTCATACAGCGAACTAGATAAAAGAAAATTTATACAAAACAAACGGAAATTTAGTTGAGTAATTATTTCCATCTATATATATATATATAAAGAAGAATATCTGTCTGTTTGTTTACTATGCATTCAGTACCTATAACAGCTGAGAACACCAGATTTTTCATGATGCTTCCCTAGGTTCTAAGGAGGGTCGACGGGTAGGGAGGTGAGGAGGGAAAGGGGTCGTGGGTGAAATTTCACCCAGGTAGTCCTGTGATAATCAACATTATGAAAATTTCCATAAAGCTTCCTATATCCCAGAGAAAGTCGACAGGGTTTCGCATGGCTGTCCGAAGAGTGGAGAGGGGGAACTGTGGGTGGAATTTCACCCAAGTAGTTATGTAATAACTATAGTCACCAAACTTCTCATGGCTATTCTCTAAGTCCAATGGAACGTTGAGAAGGGGTTGGCGATACTGATAGGAGGTAGAGAGAGGGTGCCTGGGTGGAATTTCACTCAGGTGGTTCTGTGATAGCTAACGTCACCAAAATGTCTATAATACTTCTGTATATACAAGGAAAAGTGGGGAAGAGGTTGGATACGGAATGTACTTGAAATTTAGATATTTTGCAGCGAGAACTGTGCGAAAAGGGATGTTACAGCAGGCGCTGTGCGAGAAGGTTTTTGCAGTGAGAAATGTGCGAGAAGGATTTTGCAGCGCGAACTGTACGAGAAGTTTTTTGGAGCAGGTACCTTTGCTGGTTTCTAAATAAAATTGTTTGTATTAAAAAGTTTAAATCATTTGTTTGTTTTCTTTTTTTCAGATAAATAATAAGCATCAATCAAATTTTTTCTTTAAAAATAAATAAATAAAACATTTATTACATCTTTTTGTTAAAATAAATAATAAAAATCTTAATTAAATCTTTTGTTAAGAACAAATTACTAACCTTTCGATTTTGTAAAGTTTCTTACTTCGAATCGAGTATATCTTCATTAGTTTTAACGAAGATTTGACTCGAAAGAAACGTTTACATTGTTTATCTCACTAAGTTCAGAGATATACACCTGTCTCACTAAGTAGAGACTATATTTTAGCGTATACACGCACCTAATCTACGTGAGACGCTTGGTTTTCGAAATAAATGCCGAAGCTAAAAAGACGATCTATATCTCAAAGAAATATCGAGAGAGCAAAAATAATGAGAGAAAGAAGAGCTAACGATGAATTTCGATTGTTGGACAATAGAAAACGAGCAAAATCCCAAAAGATTGCACGACAAAATAATGAATTTAAAGCTCAAGACAATGAAAGAAGAGCAGAAGCTTACAAAATTGAACGGCAAAGTGATGAATTTAAAACTCAGGAAAATGAAAGAAGAGCCGAAGCTCTGAAAATTGAACGGCAAGACGATGAATTCAGAAGGGAAGAAAATAAACGAAGAGAAGAAGCTCTCAAAATTGCTCGACTGGATAATGAATTCAAAGAAGAAGAGAAAAGAAAAAATGCACTAAGAATGTACAACAGTAGAGATAAATATAAAAATAATTTTGATGCTATGAAATCAAATTATGAATCAAATATAAAACAAGGGCCTACTCATATTTGTAGTTGTTGTGATGGTTTATGGTTTGCATATTCAATCAGAGAATATACGATTGATATGTTAGCAAACAAAGGCTTAAAAACAGAATTTATCAATACAGTTTGTTATCTAAAACATGCGATCATTAAATTATGTGCCACTTGTAGAAAGGACATCATGTCGAATAAAATACCTAATATCGCTCTATCTAATGGTTTAACATTCTGTGAAATACCGGATTGCTTGAAAACGTTGACTGAATTAGAAGAAAGATTGATATCACCAAGAATTCCTTTTATGGTAATTCGAACTTTAGGTTTTTCGAAACAATTTGGTCTTAAAGGTAATTTAGTAAATGTTCCCATGAATGTTGACACAAATGTTTCAATATTACCTAGAAGTTTTAGTGATACTTACACGATTCAATTGAAACTAATAAGACAAATGAAAAATAAAAATGCTTTTACACTCTAAATAAAATCCGTTTCCAAGAAAACCCAAATGAGCTCGGAAACCCAAAAAGGTTTGCGAAAAGGTTTCCAATCTTTTTATAGGTTTTCAATAATACCTTTTAGGTTTCCGAATGTTCGGAAACCAATGAGTTTTCTAGAACACTAAATTCGATGCTCTAAAAGTATTCTGGAATACCTTTTTTTCGTATCGGAAACCCTATTACCATCTTCGAAAACCACTTAGGTATTCTAGGAAACCCATGTTGTAAAATAAGTTGATTTGGAACCCGATTGAGTATCCGAAAATACCTTTTTTGGTTTTCGAAATATTCTATCGGAAACTCTTTCGGTTTCCGAACTTTATGTATCTGAGAAGGGTATTGTAGAAAACCTATATTGGTTTCCAAACTTCATGTATCTCAGAAGGGTTTTGTTGAAAACCCACATTGGTTTCCGAAGTTAAGGAAATGTTTGTAATGGTTTCCACAATAAGTTGACCTAGCGAACACTATTTCGGAAAAAAATACTTGATACTGGAATGTTCATTTCTACTGTTTATTTTTCTGAACTTTGAAAGATTTTCAGACAACATCCAGCGTTGATAAGTTTTGCATAAAATATATTATTATCAGTAGATCATCTTGCATATCAATATATTCAAGAAATCTAAAACTGCTTCATGTTGTCGACATATTCTAGACTTATCTTTATATTTTTAAATGAAAGACAACATCAGTCGAATTGTATTCGGAAATTTTGTAAAGAATACAACATTGAACTTCAAGATAAAGCTTTATCGTCACCAGTCTATTATCTTGAAGAAATAGAAAATACTGATCCACCATTAAATAAAGAAATTGAACGAAATGACGAGAATTTAATTATTGACAATAAACAAGATAGTCCTGAAGAAATAACAAATGTGACTCAAATATTTCAAGGAGAACCAATGTCAACTGATCCGCAAATCAGTCATAAAAGAAAGGCAGATCAGCTAGTTGATGAATAGGTATTATATAATGAACATACTCAACCAACGAAAAAACCAACTCGATCAACTCATCGCAAATCATAGTTAAAATGGAAAAAGCAAAAAGCAGAATGAATAAAACTTATTCAATGCTGCTCTCTATTTCTTATTAAAATGAAGGAATTTCTTTTTCACTTCATACACTAAAAAAGATTTTCATTTCCTTCTTTTCTATGTCCTTTTTGGTTTTTTTATTGATAGACAAGCTTTATTTTAATTGTAGCTTTCCAATAGGAGTCGATCATAAAAACATGCCTATTCTTTACTGATACACGTTTTTCATTTTATAAAACTTTTTTACCCCTCATCGTTTCTTTTAATAAAAATTCCTGGTGTTCATTTAACAAACCCTGTCAGATATTATCACTTAATAATTGTAACTGAACTATAATTTGGCTTCGTGTTAGCGCGACATTGACAATAAGTAATATACTTTAAAAATGAAAAAAACTCATAATCTACTTTTTCTATTTAGATTTCTTTTCATTCCAAGATATTCATATATTTGGTAAATTATGTTTCTTTCAAATTAAAGATATTAATATTCTACCTTTTCTATTTAGGCTTATATTTTTATTCAAAGATATTCATGTTTAGTAAGTTATATATCTTAGAAATTAAAGAAAATAAATCTTCTCCTTTTTTTTATTTAGAATTAGATTCTCATTCAGACCTATTCATGTAATTGGTAAGTTACGTAATTTAGAAAATTAAAAATAATTAATCTTTTTTTGTTTAGGTTTATATTTTTAGTCGAAGATATTCATATATGTGGTGAGTTATGTAATTTAGAAATTAAAACTGATAAAGCTTTTCTGTTTTATATTTAGAACGAGATTTTAATTCAAAGATATTCAAATGTTTGGTAAGTTATGTAATTTAGAAGATTAAAAATAATTAATCTTCTATTTTTTTATTTAGATTGATATTTTTAGTAAAAGATATTCTTATGTCGGGTAAGTTATATAAATTAGAAAATTAAAAATAATTATTCTTCTGCTTTTTATTTAGGATTCAATTTTCGTTCATTGATATTTATACACTTGGTAAGTTATATAAATAAGAAATTAAATATAATAAATCTTATGCTTTTTTATTTAGAGTTAGATTTTCATTCCAGCATATTCATACGTTTAGTAAGTCATATTTCTTAAAAATTAAAAATAAAAAAACCTTCTTTTTTATTTAGGGTTAGATTTTCTTCTGAAGATATATACGCACTTGGTAAGTTACATAAATAAGAAATTAAATAAATCATTATTCTTCTTTTTTATTTAGGATTTGACTTTTGCTCAAAGATATTCATCCACTTGGTAAGTTATACATTTTAAACTAATAATTATGAGTTTATTTTCATTTATTATAGTGCTTCTTATGGAATTTCGCAAATCTTTGGCCGAGAGAACCAGAGATAGGTAGTATATTATATGTAGGTGAAAGTGTGAGCGTGATGCTACAGTATGCAAGGTGCATCGCAGAAACTAGATATTTTCAGCTTAGAAACCTTTGCTGAGTTTCTAAGCTGGATATCTAGTATTTTGTAGGTATTGGTTTTTTACGGGTTTTCGGTAGTTCGGAAACCGGTTTTGAGTTTCTGAACTGAGGGTTTTGTATGGTATAGCTACGGGTTTTTAATGGGTTTCCGATAGTTCGGAAACCGGTGTTCGGAAACTCTTAACGAGTTTCCGATAGTAGCAAACTCGGAAACTCTTATTCAGTATCCGCGAATACTGATTTTATTTAGAGTGTATGTATGAAACAATTCGACCAAAAGTCTTACATACAGCTGTTAAATATCTTGTTCAACAAGAACTCTATAAAGATGAAGGTATTGTTATATCTAATGACTGGATTAAAGAGTATCCCAATGAAAAAGAAAATTTCATAGTCAAAAACGAAGATAAAAAGTTTAATGAAACTGAAAATACGGGAGAAGACTCTGATCATGATGATAATTGGAATGGAAGTGACGATAAACCAATTAATCCAGTAGTTACTGGAACGTTGTTGAATGATGAGACCGAGGATCAAAATGATATTGCTATTAAATTTGCTCCAGGAGAGAATAACAGACCGATATCTGTTCTAATGGATTTGAAAGTCGATGAGCTAACATTTCCAAAAATCTATTGTGGAAAACAACGAAAAATTAAAGAAAATGTCAAACTAACGTACGCTAAAATTGCTAAATCAGAATTAAGAATGTTTGATAGAAGATGTGGTAGAGTATTAAAACTCTTTTTCACATATAAGAAACTACAAACGAGAAAATTCGTTGATGCTATTTCAATAAATTTGCGAAAAACAAAAAATACGAAAAACGTAACTGTTACACAAATGCTTAATCGAGATTATGTAAATGGATTAATACATAATGATGATGCTTTTACATTCTTGAGATTTGATCGATCTTCACCAGCATTCTGGGAACTAAAAAAGAAAGAACTTATGGCCATGAATAGGCAATTAGAATGTGCAACAATATTTTTAACATTATCAGCAGCTGAAACACAGTGGTCAGAACTTCTTGTCATATTGACTAAAGTGTTAGAAAATAAAGTAATAACATTAGAAGAAGCACAAAATTTGAGCTATGAGAAGAGATGCGAATCGATAAGACAAGATCCGGTAACATGTGTTCGCTATTTTGAACATAAATTAAAATGTTTATGGGAAATATTATCAGCTCCTTGTGGTCCATTTCAAGGATATGAATTAGTAGACAAATATGTCAGAACTGAATTTCAAGCTCGTGGTTCACCACATGTTCATGCTTTATTATGGTTAAAGAATGCTCCAAAATATGACAAAAATAATCCTGAATCAATTGAAAGATGTGTAGAATTTATTGATAAATTGATTTCGGTTAGCTCTCAGCCAACGGAGTGTTCTAAAGAACTTATCAGTTTACAACGTCATAAGCACTCACATACTTGTAAACAACATGTAAACGGTTGTATAATAAGTCGTTTTGGTATTCCATATTTTCCGATGAGTAAAACGATGATATTAGAACCATTTAGTGATGATGAAAAGCTCTCTAAAAAAGAACGTGAAGAGATAAGTAAGAGTAGACAGAATGTAAAAGAAGAACTCGATAAAATATCAAAAGATAAAGATACTTCATTAACTTTTGAAGACTTTTTGAAAAAAATTAATATGAATGAAGAACAGTATATTAAAATGATTCGAGCTGGATTGAAAAAGGCGAAAGTATTCTTAAAACGTGCTCCAAATGAGACCCAAATCAATGCATACAATCCAATGATAATGTCATTGCACAGAGCAAATATGGACATTCAATATATTCTTGATCCTTATGCATGCTTAAAGTACTGTGTTGAATACATCAACAAATCTGAAAATGGAATGTCCAAGCTTCTAAGGGAAGCATTGAACGAGCTAAAAAAAGGCAATCATACAGTCAAAGAGTGTCTTAGAGTTATTGCAAATAAGTTTTTGAATTCAAGTGAAATTTCAGCACAAGAAGCTGTTTACCATATTTTAAGTATTCCACTTTCCGTCAGTAGCAGAAGTACTGTATTTATTAATACAAATAGACCCGAATATAGAATTTCTATGCTCAAATCAGATGAAATTCTTCAGAAACTGAAGCCTGATTCAAAAGATGTTTTTGTTGAAGGTTTAATTGACATGTACATTAATAGACAAGACGAAATGAAAGATGTTTGTTTGGCTGATTTTGCTTCCTTATATAATGTATCAAAGAGAAAAACAGATAATGCTTCTATTACGGAGAATTCTGATGATGAAGATGTTACTGAAAATGAAAATGATGAAAAAGCTACTGCTTTCCGAATGAAAAATGGAAAAGGTTGGATCAAAAAAAGAACAAAGAAAAAAATAATAAGATACAGATATTTTAAGCTACACCAAGATCCTGAAAACTACTACAGAGAGCAGTTGATGCTTTTTCTACCATGGAGTAATGAAGAAGAAGAAGACCTTCTTTCTATAAACCATGAAGAGACATTTGAATTACATAAAGATTTAATTCAACAGAAAAGATCTGAATATGTTCACCGTGAAGCCAGTGAATTTGAAAAAGCTTTTGAGGAGCATATGGAAAGAGAAAATGAGAGCGATATTGATGATACAAATATTGAATATGATCAAGAGAAGAATGAATTCCTCATTTATGAAATAGGAAACAATGAAGGTGATATCTTTGTTGAAATGGGACTAAAGACCCAAACTGAAAAAGTTGAGAATTTTAATGTTCCAAAGTAATACCAGATACTGAATATCAGCAAATGATGAGAAGTCTCAATAATAATCAAAGAAGATATACTTTGAATGTAATGAATTTGATAAAAAATGGAGATAAGCAATTTTTCATTTTATTAATAGCGGTGCAGGCGTTGGTAAAAGTACTTTGATCAAAGTAATATATCAGTCGATACTGAGATTTTATAATTCTCTTCCTGGATGTAATCCAGAAACTATTCGTACTACACTCTGTGCGCCAATTGGTAAAGCTGCAGCACTAATTGATGGAATGACTTTACATTCATTTTTAAGTTTACCAGTTAATCAATGCAAACATAAACTCGTTCAGCTAAATAGCGATATTTCTAATAGAATAGGAGTAAAATTGAAAGACTTGCAATTATTAATAATAGACGAAATATCAATGGTTGGTTTTACAATGTTTCAACATATCGATGCACGTTTGCAGCAAATAATAAGAACAAAAAAGCCATTTGGTGGAATATCAGTCATGGTTTTAGGCGATTTCAATCAATTAAGACCAGTTGGCGATAAATACATATTCCA